ATTTAAGGGCACTCTTAGCCTTCCATTGCGGCTACCAGTCCCTTGAGAGCACCCTTAGTGATCTATATCGTTTGGAAGGAAGGAGAAGACATAATTGATCTTTCTATCCTTGGTTTGGCAAAAAGAAGGTGATCAAGAGCAAGAGGAGGCTGAAGGAGGTGTGATTCAAGTGGTTTCAGAGTCCAGAGACTTCAACTCGAGGTATTCATTCGGACCTTCTTCAGTTTTGGTATTGAACTTAGAGATTAGGATTTTCTAACCTCTTTTGAGGATGTTTATGTGGAGCATTTGGTCCCTTACCGAGTCTATGCTTTGGATCCGGACTTAAAGAGGTCCAGAGACTTCAATCCATTAAGCTTTATGAGTCCTTGTGGGGTGATTGGACTTAGGTTGCCATTTTTGGGAGTAAATCACCATTTGATGCGATTATGTGTGTGTGTGTGTGTGTATATATATATATATATATATATATAAGCATCATGTTTCGAGCTTTACATGATTATATTGCTTGGGAAGGTCAGATCTATGGATTTGAGGAACGGATCTGACCTCAGGAGGTCAATAGAACCTGTGTATGGCATGTACTCGCCGAGTTGTTCGTGGGACTCGGCGAGTTGAGTCAGGGTAGCCCCGTGGTTCTTGCTTGGGGACTCATCGAGTAAAGGGAGGGACTCAACATGTTAAATGGGACTAAGGAGTTAAGTGGACACAGGTGGACTCGCCGAGTTGCCCAAGTGCACTCGCCGAGTTGGGTCAAAGTTTGACCGTTAACTTTGGTTGACTTTTAGGGTTTGGTTAGCAGTGAGGCCTTTTGAGCTAGAAGAGGGGTAAAATGGTCTTTTATCCTTTTGAGGATGTTAAGAAAGGTTGGAGTATAGTTATATTTATGGGATTGTTTGTTTTATGTGTTTAGGCGGAGGCTAGATCGTATTTCTACCGAGTCAGTGATTTACCGAGATATCAGAGGTGAGTCTTCTCATTATACTGTACCTGGAAGGGTACCTATGTGTGACCGGAAGGTCGGATATGCTATGAGATATATGCATTGTATGTGATTAGTCAACCGTTTTGTATGTGCTATGTATGTTATGCTTGATATGGGCCGGAAGGCATTATGTTATGGGCCGGAAGGCATTGTGATGTGGACTGGAAGGTCGACACGGGTAGGACCGGAAGGTTTACCGGGTTGGGACGGAAGTCCCCTGAGACACATGGACCGGAAGGTCATGGCCTGGAAGGGCGTACGTGTGTAAGTGGTATTTTGGGGAACTCACTAAGCATTTATGCTTACAGTTGTGTTATGTGTTTCAGGTACTATTGAGGACCGTGGGAAGGCGCCAGCATGATCTGTACACACTGACGGAAGATTTATTTTATGATCTTGGGATGTATTTTATTATGATGACATTTGCTAAACATGAAACTTAAGAATATTATATGATGGTTTATATTGTTTGAGAAATGAGAAATTGTTTTAAAAATTCACATCATTACATTTTCAAGTCTCTTGTGTCTCTAGGAAGGGTTCCAAGGCAAATTCCAAGGCTTGAGGGGTGTTTAGGGTTCAAAAGAGGCACTCCCTTGGAGTTTCCGGTCGTAGGACCACTCCTTGGGAGTTTACGGTCGTGAACCCCATGGTTTACGGCCGTGAACTCTTGGACACCCCTTATACTTCGTTTTTGAGGTCCTTAGCTTACTCCTACAAGTTTCTATGTGAAGGTCCATGGCTAAATAGGGGGTTAAAGGCTCAATTTGCATAGTTTAAGGGATTTTACGACCTAAGGGTGTTGTTGGGCTGTAAACCCTATTTCAAGCCTCTAAACACAAGATTTAATGGCTAAAACACGTCTAGGGTATGTTCTAAGTTAGCCTCTAAGCCTAAGGAAGAGATTTGGGTGCATTTTGGCACACTTTTAGGGGTTTACGTCTCTAGAGTGTTCTTGGGTCGTAAACTCCTTACTCTTGGCGTTCTTGGACGATTTTTAAGCTATAATGATATGCAATGGGTTATAGAACAATCTAGAGTAAGAGTACTTACAATTTGGAAGCGGAAACTAGCGGAGTTTGGAAGAACCGGGCCTTGAAGAGAGAGAGTAGAGAGAGAGAGAGGGACTAGAGTGGTAAAAGTTCTAACTTGGTGACCACTCAACCCTTATATAGGGTTTGAGTTTGTGGCCAGGTGGAATTTTACCCGATACCGACGTTAAACGGGGCTTATGGCTGTACCCGATTAAATGGTCGTATTTTAACTTGTTTGAAACTAAAACTTCTTAAAAGGATATTTAGGGTGCTTCCCACATTCCTAATTTATTCCGATCCTTATTAAGTCATAATAAAAGTTCCAATTTTTATTTGTTTGATGCCAATGTTAACGGAAAAGTTTAATAAGAATGAGTTCTATTAACGGAAAACGGGTTACGGTGATGGAATAATTTCAGGTTGTCACATCAACAATTGTAACCTATTTGATGTAATAAAGAATAATTATGTGAATATAATGTGTTTCATGATTATTATAAACAATAAGCTATGAATGTAAAGAGGAAGGGAAAATTTCGAAAGACTACCCGAAGAAGAAGGATGCGACAAGGCCTAATGTTCCACCGAGACCGAAGGCGAGATCTTTCCAAATGACCATGGAAGCCGCAAAGGATGCATTAGATATATCTTCAGGTACCTTTCTTGTAAATGGACTGTCTGCCAATATATTATTTGATCCCGGAGTAAATTACTCCTTTATATCACACAAATTTGGTGGAAGACTAGCATTGACTGTAAATAAACTTGATAATGCTCTAGTTGTAGAAGTTTCCAGTGGCAAATTCATACATGTTAGCGATTACATTTAGAACATCGTCATCGAGTTAAACAGAAACGAATTCCACGAGGAGCTATTACCCATTGAGTTGAATGGTTTCGACATCGTACTAGAAATGGATTGGCTTAGTGCGAGCGATGCTGAAATAGTATGCAAAAAGAAGATGGTGAGAGTAAAACTAAAATATAAGTTTTGTGGAATATGTTCCTAATATGATTTTTTGTATTGAAATACTAAAAGATGGATAATTTAAGATATTAACACTCGTTAGGAATAACATTGACGATTTTACATAAAGAATCAGAATAGGATACATATGAGATTACCATCACCTTTTCTTTACCATCACTCTCTAAACAACTGACGCTTAGATTAATTCAAATAGGCTAAGAAAAGATTGTAAACTCTTTGATTTTTTTGCAAGAGTCATAACAAAAGACCACATTTTGTCCAACCTATTCAAGGATTCGCTGCCTAGATAATTTCCAACCAGAATAACCATAAAGCTATAAGTGGAGGAAAGGAGTAAGATATATAGCTTTCAATGGAATTTATTACTTATACAATGACTTTAGCTTTTGAATGATCAATTTTTTGTCATTAGTACACTTAAAAATTTTCTCGAGACCTCTGAGGTATTTCATTGAATAAGTAGTGAGCGAAATTAAGCAACAAATTTTCACTCACGCCTAAATTGGCAGTTTCTATGAGGCCAAAGGAGATAATCGATTCATAAAAAAAAGCGAGGTAAATCCAATTGAAGAACTTACCCAGACAAATTTCTTCATGTGGATTCCGAGTTACAGTTAGATAGATGGTTTTGCATTACCTTTAATCATCCATACAATAAAAAATGAGTTTGAAAATAAGTAAGCATTCTTGCGATTTAATTTTCAGCAAGAAAATCAAATCAGAGAGGAGAAAATTATAACCTTGTATACATACCAATTGGTGTGCTCTAAAGCCATAATCACATAGAATATTTTTCTATAGCAAGAGTTCGTTTGATTTTCGATCATCCTATTGAGAGGGAAGAAATTTAGGTAAGCACGTGAGGGTTAATGGGGAAAGGGATGGTCGATTACCTTCTTGTAGGTTGTATCGATGATGTATAGAGGGTGGTGGTAACAGACTCAAGAGGGAAAGGAGAGACATATGAGATGTGTTTTGACGACAGTTGATGATGTGTAGAGGAGATTAGGGTTTTTAAAATGTAAAAGGTAAGATCTTAAGTTACAATAAGACATGTGTGTATATTGAATGCCAAACAAAAAATCCAAGGATAGAAAGTATATGATTGAAATGCAATCAATGATTTTGATTTCTTTAGTTTAGAATTAAGAGTTCTCTTTTAATAATATTTAGAGATGATTTTGGTTAACTGTTTTTGTCGATTTATAGTTATGGTTAATGGTTAATATTAATTAACCATGATGACCGAAAAAGAGATAAAAATAAAGAATACTTTGCTATAAAGTACAATGTTATAAAAAGTAAACCGTTTAGTGTTTAAAACTATATTAATATGATAAAAGATTAGGCGTCCTATTTAATTCCAAATGATTACTTTTTAAAATTTTAATTCCAAATATAATTACATATCCTATATTTAATATTATATTATATTAAAAATATTTATTAATATTATTGATTCGGTTAGATTTTAAGTGGTTCAGTTTTAGATGAAAACCATAACCGAACCGTATGTAATCGGTTAATCAGATATAAAAACTGCACCACTTTTTTAATAATAATTCGGTTAAAATGATTCAATTATTTCTATTAATTTAATTTCATACCTACTATGAATCTAAATAGTGGAAAAAAACCCCAAAACTATGACTATAGATGATAGCGGGCGGAGAAGTAGAGAGAAAGAGGAAAAAGATAGATTAGCTGAAAAAGACGGTCACTGTTGCAAGCCGATGACGATGCACTTTTAAAGCCGGCTCCAAAGAACTGATGACGATGCACGTTTAAAGCCGGCTCCAAGAACACCGTTGATCAGCTCTTTTTTATGAAGTCTACCCAAAATTAATATGTATATATAATATTAAAAAAAAAAAATCTTAGGACCAAAAGTTGATATCACAAACAATTATGTTCAAAATCGGAAAGGGTAAATATTTCCTATTCATTTTGCTTGCCTCGATTCATTTGCAGTCAATCAACCAGAAAAACAATGGAGACAAAGACGACCTGCAACAATCTACCAAACTTTGTATCTTCATTCGTCGACACTTTTGTTGACTTCTGCGTCGGCGGTATATTCTTGCCGGAACCTCCGTCTCCTCCGGTTTTCCAAACTTCCTTCCCTTCCCCTGAACGCCTAATAGCAATCGGTGACCTACATGGCGACCTTCTCAAATCCAAGCAAGCCCTCCGTCTCGCCGGTCTTATCGACTCCAACGACCGCTGGTCTGGTGGGTCCTCTACCCTTGTCCAGGTCGGCGACGTCCTCGACCGTGGCGGTCAGGAGCTGAAAATCCTCTACTTCCTGGAGAAACTTAAACGGCAGGCTGTTAAATCGGGCGGCAATGTGATCACCATGAACGGGAACCATGAAATCATGAACGTGGATGGCGATTTCAGGTACGTGACCTTGTCTGGACTAGAAGAATTTACGAATTGGGCTGATTGGTTTTGTATCGGTAACAACATGAAGAGTTTATGTGATGGATTAGAAAAACCTAGAGATTTGTACGAAGGTATTCCTTTAAGCTTTCCTCGTGTGAAACAGGAGTACGTCAAGGGTTTTAGATCTCGGATCGCTGCATTGAGGCCCCAAGGTCCAGTGGCAACTAGGTTTTTATCAAAGAATTTGACTGTAGTCGTGGTGGGCGAATCGGTGTTCGTTCATGGGGGGATTTTGCCTGACCATGTTGCTTACGGGTTGGACAGAATCAACGAAGAGGTTAGGGATTGGATTAGTGGATTGAAAGAGAAGGTAGCTTCCAGTCTGGTGAGGGGTAGAAATTCTCTTGTTTGGTTGAGGAAATTTTCTAACGAGGTAGCTAAGGATTGTGATTGTAGCATGCTTGAGCACGTTCTTTCAACGATTCCAGGTGCTCGGAGGATGATCATGGGGCATACTATTCAAGAAGCTGGTATCAATGGAGCCTGCGGTAACAGAGCAATAAGGATTGACGTTGGTATGTCTCGAGGCTGCATCAATGGGTTGCCGGAGGTTCTAGAGATTAACGAGAATTCAGGGGTGAGAATGAGAGTTTTAACAGCAAATCCAAATCCGAATCCAATGTATCACAATAATAATCATGATTCTGGGGGCAAGGAAAGTATTGGTCTGTTGATCCCTCAGCAAGTGGAAGTGGAAGTTGAGGCTTAAATCAAACACACCACACCACATTTGTTTGTTCTAGTGTTATAGGATTCCAGTTACTATTCCAATTTCCAAACAACTAATGAATGGAATTTATTTAGATTGGAGCTTCCTTGGTTGGTTGTTTAAATATCTCTCTCTTATATAACCCAGTAAATATAAATCCATTATTAGTGGGCCAAATACAAAAAATAACAAATATCATTATTATCTATTATAGCATTCTACTGCAATTCTTTTCTTATTAAAGTGTTATACTTTTAAAAATCTATCTAATTATAACATTCTACCTATACCTTTAACAGTAAAATTGCTTTGTGTTTAGTTGATGTTGCTATAATTGGTAGAATTTTCAATGTACAAGTATGAATAATAACTGAAAGTAGGATGCTTTGAAAAAACAAATAAATGTCTTTTCATTTAGCTCTTATTATTATTCATGATGATTGAAACAAGATATCAGAAACACTAGAAAGTAGGAATGAATTGAAAACAGGAGGAACATCCAGAACCCAGGGCCGATTATGTTCCCTGGCAGCCTTTAAACATATGTGATTGTTTTTTCCCATATCATAAAGCGCTGTATGTGGATAAAGTCTGCATGAATATGTTAAGTTTAAGGTTTGAATGAACCATCTGGATACAGGTGGTGTTTCTGATGGAGAACAAACACTCTTAACATTTTCTATAATCCAAGCACCCTACCAAAACAAATAACATTAAGGAGCATGTTTCCAAACTGAAGTGTCTTTTTATTACCACACATCAATACATACGTACATACATACACCCGTGTTAAAAGTAACAACATATAGATATAGATATAGATAGATATAAAACACAAGAAATGAAATGATAAAAAAGTAAAAATCACACAAATCTGTTAAATGGTTTCCTCCCAATTGAAAATGAAGAATCCACACTGAAATCCCCAACAGACCCTGGAGACTTACGGGATCCTCCTCTGGTGCTTGGAGTTACAGGGAAAGAAAACCTCCTTTGAGATGAGACGGACATGGAGCCGCTGCCCGGAGTGCCCGGCATCCTATCTTTAGGATTACTTGTTGGTCTTGCTTTAGCTTTGGCTGAAAGCGTAGGACTCATGTAGTTTGGGACTGAAAACGGCGGGCAGCTCATCAAGCTATCATCATCCTTCACTGGATAAGGAGAACCTCCGCTTGCTCTTGGTTTGGAAAATTTCATCATTCTTGATGGTGGAGGAGTCATCATCATCATCTGTTGTCTTGTTCTTGAAGGAGCCATGGACCTTCTTGATGGTGATGATGATGATGATGATGGTCTAATCGCTTGCTTCTGCCGGCTAAGGCTTGACTGAGGACTTGGTGTGGTCAGTTGATGATTCTCTACAGCAGATTGGCTCTTCAAAGGAAGTTCACGGTCTAACCAGTTCCACCACCATGGGTATCCCATTAGAGTGTTTTGTGCTGATTTTGGTGCAGCTTTCCACAACTGAAGGAAGATTATTAGAATTAAGAGACCCAAATATTTTTAACTTCAGCTGACCATTCATATTCATTCATTCTCATTGTATAGAGGAGGGTCAATGGTCAATGTTCTACCTGGTGGGAGTATGCATATGCCATGGCTCTTTCTCGCTTATTCAATGCCTCCACTTTTCTGTGCAACCTTGCTTCTCTTTCCTCTTTTGTAATCAAGCTAGCATCCCAATCTTCATCACCCATCTCCAACTACATAGAATTTCCAAAATAAACAATTTTGCAGGAAAAAAAAACATGCATATAGGGAGCGCAAAACCTGTCATTCTAAAGTAAATTGGTACAGCAAAACCTACTACATGGTCATTAGGAACCAGGTTGTGTAGCAAAATCAATCGGCCATGATCACACACACACACTAAAAAAAAAGCAAGCATGGCAGTTGACAGACAAAGGCAATCTTATTCTTACTTGATTCTTGCCAACCCCTGAGCCTGAGGCTGAGGCCTTCTGTGCTTGGCATTTGAGTGCTTGATTTTCTATTGTTTGCATTCTACGTGACTGAATCTGTGTTTGAAGCCTAACCAAGAGCTGCATCTGTTTCATGGCATTGACTGTCTGTCGTTTCACATGTTGACCTCTTACCACTCCCTGAAGCCTCACAAGACCTGTCAAACCTCTAAGCTTTCTCCTTTCCTGCATTATGTACAAATCATAATCATAAATGGTCCAACTTCTCAGCAGTTGTAGACTAGAGTATGAGAGTTTCAATTTCACATGAGCTCTTTTGCAGAAACAATGATGTTGAAATGCTTACCATGTAACCTCTATAAGCAGCCTGGATCCTTGTTGCAGAAAGGTGGCGTTGTTGTAGAGTTGGTTCAGGTCTGTCGCTAATAATTTTTGCTTGTTGATGAGCAACTCTAGGAGGAGGAGGAGGAGGAGGAGGACGAGGAGGAGACGGAGGAGGAGGAGGAGAGGTGGCCCTTGGGTTTGGAGGAGGAGGAGGAGATTGAGGCCTTCCAGGTGGTTGTGTTTCTGATGATTGCTGGGAAAGAGTAGGAGGATGAGGATGAGCAATAAATAAATTCTGTTGGTCAACTTCCCCCAAGATTTTCTCAATACTGCTTGGCTCTCTGAAAAGGGGAATGAATGATCTGTTCCCACCTCCATGTTTCTTCAAACTTTTCTTCTCAGCCTCCTGCAACACCATTTCTTACAACGTAAGAACAATAGAAATGTTAATTAAAATCCCACAGCCCAAAATACTACTTACATTCACTGGCTTCTTCTGTTTGGAGTTTGATGATGTACAAAACCTCTTGATTGCAGAAAACCAACTCCCTCTCTTTCCCATGTTCCTAGCATCAGTTTATTTATTACCCACCAGACCCTGTAATGTAAAGCCGCAAGGAAGATAAACCGATCAACTTTTTCCCAACATACCAAATATGAAGCCTACAAAATCAGGTAATACAATACTACAAGAGGAATGCAAAACCCCTCTCTCCCCCAAACCATATTTTAGAATTCCATGATTAAATCTAGAATCTAGATGCATGGTTACGCAATCAGTACAGGAGTTGAATCACCAGGTTAGGTTATAGAAACACTAAGATCGTGGATCCAACCAATCGAATTAGTGGAATTTTGCTAGGGTTCATTATAGAATCACCTAAACGAAGAGGTAAGATATGTATAATCTAGGTTGAACTTTCCTCAAAACGTAAAATATGAAACCAATTATCTAATCGCACAACACACAAAGCAATTTCAGAATTTCTCACCTTAATTCCGAAGAATTCTCTGTTCAATTACCCGTGGGGGTGGGGTTTTCTTCATGCGATTTGTCCCAGACAGGAAGGATTTTCAGTTTGAACTGTGTTCGTGTTGTGTTGGGATCTTTGAGAAGAAGAAAGACTTTGTTTGTTGGGTACCACCACCACCTTTTTAAGGTGGGATGACTAATTCTTGTTTACGAAATTGAAAAAGAAAGGAAGGGTTTTAGAATTTGTTGTGCTGTTCAACCAACTTTACTACTAATTTTTTTTTTTCTTTATTTAACAACCGTTTCGGTGTCTGAATGTGCATTAGTGGTATTCATCATCATCAACTTACTTTGCGTGCGGGGTCACGGTTTCTCTCTCACCCCGACGGCGGCGCGTGTAAAAACGGATAGAACGTGGGGGCACAAACGTCTTTCTAGGCACTGGTGGAGCCATATATTACAGATAACTTTAGGCGACCGGTTCTGCTGCAAAAATAAGAAAAAACAAGACTAATAAATGTAGGAAATTTTATAAAAATTAAAGAAACTATTAAAATAGATGCGGCATTCATGGGAAATTTTCTTTTAGAATCTCGTTAATTCATTAAAAAGGGGTGAAAGTTTGATCTTATAAGAGTTCGAATCTGGGCTTCCACTGGAAAAGGCGGAAGAGCTTACGCTTGGTATTTATCGTTTAAATTTTTTTTATCAAAATAGATATTAATTTTGAGAAATTAAATATTCTCCTACATTTTCTTCATATTTATCATTCTACCCATGTAAAATAGTGATATGTGTTATATTCAGATAAAATTAATGATATTTTAATACATTTATCATTGTTTCAAATAGATAAGAATATATGTAGGAAGAAAAATAAGAGGCTATTCAATTTATCATTAATTTTGTAGGTGATATATACGTAAAATCACAAAAATGATTTGTTTTATGAATATAAAAACCTTTTTTTTTTTCATTTCATGAAAACAATAAAATAAAAGCAAACTCGTGCTAGAGGGTGGACAATAGGAGCAACTGTTTAGGGTTCATGTTTTAGAGGGCTCAAATTTATTATATACTAGATATAAGACTCATGTATTACATTAGTTAATTAAAAAAAATTAAATATAAAAATCTAAATATTTAAGAAATTTGGGTTTATAAAAAAAATAAGAAAAATAATAAAACATTAAAATTGATTTTTTTATCTTTTAAATTTAAATAAATAAATAAAATAAACCAATAAGCTTTAATTTGGAATTTTGAAATAATATAACTCCATTAATGAAATTGATATTATTTATTATCATATTTATTGTAATTATTACATTAACGTGTTATGTATAATTTATTAAAATAAAAAACCCATAAAATGACAAGTGGAAAAAAAGTTAATTTAAAATAACCATAAAATGATATTTAACAAGTTGAATGAGAATGTGATATGTAGCAAAAAAAAAAAAAAAACCTTCATTATTAGAGTAGATAAATGCTATTACAAGTAATTTCCATTAAATTATCAAGTTAATATAAAAAAAGTTGATTGATTTTTTGTGAATTTAGGGGTCTCTCCGGGGCCTAAAATATGTTTGGAATGACCCTGAATAAAAGCTTAAACTTCTCCAAAAAAAACACTTTCAAACACATAACTTTTAGTGTTAATTATAAGCACCGATCCTTTTTTTCAAACATAATAACATATTGAGTCTGACTATTTAGTGACTATTAGAGATGAATATTGGATCGAATCCGGACTGAGAACCGATTTAATAGGAAATGAAGAATCGGAAAACGGGTTGAATAACCCGTTTTCAGTTCCTGTTCAATTCTACAGGTAAGTTTGTGTTCTGCTAGCAACGTTTGAGAGCTTCTAGCTTTTAAGAAAACATTAATAAAAAAGAAAAAACATTGTTCGACGACAGGAGCGTTTAACTTTTAGCTTAAACAAAACGCTCCAAAATTAAACGCTGCCTACTACCCACTGCCAGCTAGTTTTATCGAACATGCCATAAGTAGTGTACTCTTTAGGGACATGTTTGGCTCGAACCGATAACCGGTTAATAGGAAATGGAGAATAAAGAACCAGATTGGATACTTCGGTTCTGATGTTGGTTTTTTTTTTTTTTTTCTGATCCAGTCCACCAGGTCAAACGCTTATCCCTACTAATTGCTACGAATGTGATTTTTTTTTTTTTTTTTTAGAGAAATGATGTCCATCAAATCTTCTTTTATATATATATAAATTATAATGTTTAAAAAGTAAAACTATAAAGAAACATGTATGTTTGTTTGTTTTTTTTTTTTTTTTTTTTTTTAAATTCACGGTATGAATTACTTATTGCAGGTTTCATAATAGTCAAATTCACCATACAAAAAATAATATAGGATTATGTCATAAATTCTATAATTTTGCCAAATGCATCTTCAATTTTACAAATACTAGCTAGAAATCCCTTTTTTGATATCATGTGGAAAAAAAGGTTTATAACTATTTTTAAAATATTTCTCATATGTCATACCTCTAAAAACCCTTTCAACCCCATTCCCTTTCTACCTTTCCCACCCTCCTCTCGTCCACCCTCTCATCCACAAGATATAAAGTCACATTTCTATCTTTTTCATTTCTCATAGTCCATTTAATTTTTGTTTTTTATAAATTAAACATTTATTACTAATTTAAAACTAAGAATTTAAAAATAATATAAAAAATAATATTTTTATTAAAAATAAACTTGTACAAATGGAAAAACAAAAAGATAAAACAACATTTAAAAAAAGACACGATAATTAAAATTCATAAATTCTTAAAATAAAGTTTTAAAGCTCTCAACCATGTTTTGTTGCAATTTGTTGTTTCCTCTCAATCACCATTCACAGAATACATCCGGTCAAATATTCATGTAGATTGAGGAAAAAAAATGCATATTTGGACCTTTATCTCTCGCTCCAATAGTTGAACTTTCCATTATTCGGTTTCTCATATAATACATAATTTTTCATTCTTTGAAGTCCTTTGAAGGGATGTTTTTAGAGTTTTGGGCAACTCCAGAACCTTAGACTTGCTTGTTGATTCTTGTATGAAAGGCTATGGGGGAGCCCATGACAATTGCAGGAGTGTTATAAGACTACGGTTCAACCTTAGCATTCACTTGGGTTGAAATAGACCCGTTGGCTGAAATAGGTCGTTGCAACAGTGTTGCAAGACTATGATTTGGTCGTAGCATTCACTTGGGTTAAAATAGATCCATTGGCTGAAATATGTCATTGTAGGAGTATTATAAGATTACGGTTTGATCATAGCATTCACTTGGGTTGAAATAGACCCATTGGTTGAAATAGGCCATTGTAGGAGTGTTGTAAGACTATGATTCGGCCATAGTATTCACTTAGGTTGAAATAGACCCATTTGATGAAATAGGTCGTATTGTTGTTTAGCTTTTTCTTATAGGTAGTAGTGAAGGCTTCTAGAGCCGAGTGGATGTGCAGACTCATCTCGTCCTTTTTTTTTATTAGGTTATTTATTTAGAGTCTTGCTTTCGCGTCTGCATACGAGGTTTTCGACAATGACAATGGGCCATTGGTTCTATTTTTCAGTTATTAGTAGGACGGTTCGAGGTCGTGCAGATTTTGGTTGGATCGAATCTTGAACATGATACCTAGTAAATGCATCAATGTGACACTGAAGATGCTTCGAACATCAAACTAGATATAGTTATTACTAAATTCCAGGAAGTCTTGGATAACTTATATATATATATATATATATATATATATATATATATATATATATATATATATATATATATATATATATATATATATGATATAATAGGTTAAGCAATATTCTAATAAATATAATGATATTTTGTTTTAAACTAGTTTTAACATTGGAATAGTGCAAAACTAAAAGAGTCATCTTATGTAATCTAATAGGCCCATGTTTTATGGACTGTACACCTTTAAGACCTAGAAATCCATTAAGGCCCACATAGATGGATGTTGTTTCTTTTATGGAAAAATTGAGTACTAGAAAAGGAACTGCTCCTCTTATCTGAAAAGAAAGTCTAGAAAAGACTAGTACTTCAGGTATCTACTAGATATAAATTTTATTTTTCATGTAACACTTAAGTACTTGGTACTTAAATGTTGATCTAATATTTATAAATGGCTTGCATATATTTACAAAAGAGTGACTAGATGAGCACAATCAAATTGGAATTACACTCTCAAAGTTTAGTTTATTATTTATGCTTAGAACATTACTTGTAATATAAAACAATGTTTGTTTTGGAACAATGTATGTTTTAATTTAGTTTGTCTAAATATATGTATCAATTAATTTATGAATGATTGACCATTTACTTAAATCAATTTTCATAACAATCACGTTTATATTCGGAAATGATTTTTTATAAGACTAGATCTCTTAATAAAAATTATAAAGTAAATATCAATGTTTTATAAATAACTAGTTCTATATGAAAAATACTTTTGACTTAAACTTGTTTTAAATCAAACTCATCTTTGACATTGTTATCTTTATTTTATAAGTGACATTCACATATTTTAACTTCAAGAAAGGGATCTTTGAAGGCCAATGTAGTTTATTTTACATATGTGAATCTTATTATATATAAAAGATCCTGATGATATTTTCATGAAGTCATAGAAAAAACAATTATTAAGGAACTATATACTATGATGTATGACTTCCGTAGCACAAGATACCAAATCATCTTTATTAACAACTATAGTAGTTATAAATTATATTTTACGTGTTAAAACATAATTGTGAAATCTTGGTTGAAGCTTTCATATATAAAGTTGAGATACAAAACAACAAGAACTATCTACAGCCTTAATGATAATATAGGATGAATTAAATCTTACTTGGTATGATTTACTTTCTAATCGATAGAAATATCCTCCTTTTATTTCCTTTGGGATAACACCTAGAACACTATCAATTGTACATTTGAGTACAAATACCAATTAATAAGTAGATAAAACATTTTCTCTATAAGATTTTGTATGGAAATTTTCCATCCCTATCTTATTTAAATGTTTTGTGAATTTGAAGACAATCTTGTACTAAAGCTTCTAAACTTAAAATCTACTAAATACATATTTGTATAATATTCTAAATTTGGTTTAGATTATTATATGCAAATCCACCAAGAATAAATTTTGTTATTCTTGTGAAAGATAAGTTAGTAGAAAGCAAACTTCTAATGACAAAGCAAATGGAAGCGACATGGAACTTGAAGTAGCTCAAGAACCATAGCTTGATGTAATAGTAGTTGACACTAGTTTTAACAAGGGATTATTAAACTTGAACAATATCTATTCAAAAACACAAATTATTCGCACTAGTGGTAGAAATCATCTTTGATTTGAGAAATGTAGAATCTTTCATTGATGAGATTTTCTTTATGATTTTTGGCAAATCCATCAACTACCAATATGCTATGTGAGATCTTAAATCTGATAACTGACTCGGAGTCATGAACATGAGATGTAATCCATGTATAATAATCAAGTATGGTCTTGATGAAACTTTCTCCCTATAGCAAGGATAGAAGGAAT